CATCCCTTTTTTGTTTTTTTTTTTTTTTTTTTTTTAATCACCTACTTAGCATAGGGTTTTTTCTTGCCTGGACTTTGGCTGAAACCTGTTTAGGGAGGTGATTTGACTATTTTCTGTGCTGGAAAGATTTTTCTGGTTGATTTGAAAAACAAGCAAAGACTCTGCTTCCTGGTGCATAAAGGGAGGGAATCCTCCTAATTCTAAAAGCAAAAAAAGGGAGTTTGCTTAGTGTGTTCTTAAATGATGTGGTCTTGCGGTATATTAGGCTTTTTACCAGAGAGGGGTGGGGGGAAAAAAAAATTAGAGCAGCTGTTCTATGGAGGAAGTGGAGAACTCTGAAAACTTAAAAGGTCTCTTTTGTAATGACATCTGCCGATGAATTGCTAGGGTTTAACTGGGTGCACACATCCAGTCTGCATCTTTAACTGCATCCATATGTGGATTCTCTGTTTTTTCTAAACTTCCTTCTCTGTTTTTGTGCGGGTTAGCGCGTTAGTGAGCATTGGCCTATGAGCCGGTGGAGCTCCGAGACCTATTTCAGCACCTGTGGCAGTTGGTTCAGAGGGTTTCTTAATCGTGTTATTTGTGAGATAGGATGTTCATCAATTTAAACTAGAGTACAAACTTGAGTACGAACTGCTTCATGCTCTGGGCTTTTGCATAGTTTAGAGCAAAATGAAGTTATCAAAGGTGTGTATGACTGCAGTGCCTACATACCAGCTGCTTAACCTGCTAACTTTATCTACAGTTGACTCTGTTCTGCTAATAGCACTGCTTTTATTCCTCCCTGCCTCAATTACTGGACATGTAGATGTTTGAGCTGAAAGTTAAAAGCTGTGTGTAGCCTTCCTTCCAACATCTGGTAACTTCTTCCCTTTCTTCCTCAGTCTGCTCCTTTGCTACTTGTTGCTATAAACATGCAGTGACCAGGGCCTCCTGTCTAGCCACCTACAGTAGTGCAGAGAACAACAGCAGCTGTGAAAGGAACAAGAGCTTCTCTTCTTAACAGTGTCCAGGGGCTTAGTGTAGCCATAAAGATGTCCTTCTGTTTTCCCTGTGGCAGGCAGATGCCTACTTAAGGAATTTGCTGGCACTTCTTAATGCCTTGTGCCAGGACTGAAAGGCGTTTGATAGCCTCCTGCAAATGTCCTCTGCCTAGAAGCACTGTAAGAGCCACCTCAGGGAATGACAGGGTCTCCTTCGTTAGCTCCAGCCTCGGTGGTGGAGAGACTTGTGAAACAGCAAAACTCTGAATTTGGGTGAAGGAGCCTCCATTCTGTGCAGGGCTTCCTTAGCTGATCATAAGTTGCCCATCGGAGAAAAAAAAATAAAAATATTGCAACTTTAGAGCATGTAATTTTCTTGAAGTGATGCTTTTTTTGCCAAAAAGATTGGTTTTGCTGAAGTAATTGGGTACCTCTTGAGAAAGGTTATTACCATACCTGTAGTATGTTTTGGTCTCCCTTGCCCTTTAAAGCTATTTATAAAAGATGGCAAGAATTTTACGTGGTCAAGATGCTTCTTGTCTCTTTATTTGAAAGTCACTTGAACCTTTCTATTTGAAGGATGAGCTGATACAAGTAATGTTTCATGTCAGGACCAAGTTTAAAAACTTAATACTACCCTACTAGAAAAATATGAGAAATAATGATAAACTATGTTTTCCTTGTGTTTTTTTTTAACTTCTTATCACTTATTGTCCTGAAGGTCTTGACTGCTTGTGAGTGTAAACTTCTTTCTAATTTTAACTGCTGTAATCAGTGCTGATCTTGCTGAATTGTTGGTTCTGTGTATTTGTTATGCTTCCACCCATGGGTTTTTTATCATCTCTGTGGCTTTTTCTCCTGGTCCTGCATTAAGTTAGTTTACATTCCCCCAGCATGGAGCTGATGAAAGCATAGAGCAAGGAATGTATGTTCAGTCTTTATAGCCATCTTAAAATACTATACTGATTTCTGTTTGGTACATGTATTTTTTACTAGTCGAGATACACGTCCATCGTGGGCCTGGCAGCATGGAAGTGTTGTCTTAAATGACCTCTATTTTCTTGTTTTACTTAGTATGTATATTCTGAAACTCTGAAGACTTTTGTTTTTTCTACGAGTAAGAAAATTTTGGTGTTTTGGTTGTTTAAGTGCAATACTGAAGCTTGATCCGCAGGCCACAGAGTGGTCTGAGGGACATTAATTTGGAAATAATGGAAGGAACTCTGTACTTGCAAGCGAAGAATGCTGTTGTTCAGCCCTCTAAGTTTTGCATATGTATGTAACTGTAAATATAAGCCTGAGTTTCGCTGCCCTCATTTTTTACATGTTTTCCCCTCTCTTCCCTGCCCCCCCACTACAGAGCAACTTTACAGATGGCCGTTTGCAAACCCAGTATAAATCAGGCTTAGTGCAGAAGGGTTTATATATCCAGGCTAAGTACCAGCGGTTACGTTCAGTTGGTGTCAGGGGATTTACCACTAGTAAATTCAGAGATGGATTTTTGAGGAAAGAAAAGGTGAGTTGGCTTAATTTATTTCCACTATGCCTTTGTGTAAAATGCGAATGTTCAAATGATCCACTTGAGTTTCTAAATCCACATGGAATAACTCTGGGTTTTTTGGAGTACTGCATCTTTGCACTTTGCAGGCAAATCTAGTTCTGCACTCATTTCTTCCATGTTTGTCCCTTAAACTTATGAAGAGAAACTTTGGGTAGTTGAAAATTGGAGGTGGATTCTGAGAATCTGCAGTGCCTCTGTTTCAGTAATCTCTTCTGGAGAGCAGTTGATCTGATTTCCTGTTTGGCGAAAGGGGAAACACTGACCCTCTGTGTTCAAAAATGTTGAATCCTCTTAGGTTATACTTCAAGTTATGTGAAGGCTTTTTTTTTTTTTCCTCCAAATTTGGGTACTCACTGAAGTGTGATCTCTCAAGGCAAACAGGGAACTGAAATGTGCAAAGGATTTTTTCCAAAATGCATGAAGCTGTACAAGAGGCAATTTTGTGCTGGTGACTTTTTTCCCCCTGAATTTCCAATATTGCCCAGTAACCGGATGATAAAGTCCATGTCTAGAATTTATTAAAACCATTCATAGAGTCTGACTACTAGAGATTCTGGTTTGAATTAGAGAAGCATAAGATCTGAATATTGATATTTTTTGTGATCTGTGAAGAAACTGAATACCATTGAGTTAATGACTACATCACTTCAAGCTATTTTACTTTTTCTTCACTACGTAATGCTTGATGGTTGGCTAATTCTTTGAAAAAAAAATTCTTAAGATTCTAACATTTCCTTCCTTTGCTTGTCTGTGCAGTAATTGAACTTGTCAAAACACCATTATATTTCATCCTTAAAATAACTTTGCATATGCAGCCTCTAAAATGCAGTCTTTACAGTTGTGGTATTTCATTCTGTAGTTATACAGCACTAATGTTGTAGTTAAGCGCTGTACTAGTATGTGTGCCATGGAAGCTGGAAGGATTTCTTGCCCTTTTACACCTTGATGTGACGATTGTTTTTCCTCTCCGTAGGGACACTTAAATATTGCCACAGAAACCTGAGCTGCGATCCTGAAGCTGGAACATGCAACATGGCAAAGGGAGCATCTGTTTGTTTTTGACAACTTTGTCAAGAATTAAAATAGGATGACTGAACTAACAGTGTAACTTTTCTTGATAAAAATAACTTTATTTTTCAGTAGTGGAATGCTGCAGAACTTTTCTACAGTTTTAATAATTGCTTTTAAATTACAGTATTCAATTGAAACACTGTAGTATGTACTCTAGTTCCTTTTTGCATACCAGTCTCAAGCAAAGAAATCACTGAAGGGAGTCTTATTTATTTAATACTTTTTTTTTTCTGAGCATGATGTTACAGATGGAACGTGAGTCGTTATACGCAGAGGTTTATATGTTGAAAGTTTGTTGCTTATGTAATAAAAAAAAGGAAAAAAAAAAGTGCCTGGATTGTTTGGTAATAGCACATTAGCTCAGGATTTTCCAAGTAATGACCTTTTAGGTTGTGCAATAGATCTTAAAGCTCTGTTCAGTCATCTCTGTAAAACAGTATTTTGTATTACTTCATTTTCAGTTGAATATTAAACATGGGATTTTGCTGTGTATATATACATGTGTAAATTGTTAGACAATTTTCAGCATTTGATTAAAGCATACGGTAAGGGGCAGGTATGTACCGTACTCTAGCAGTAGTCTGACCGCACTGGAAGCATGCTTGGGTTGTTGGAGGATGAGCTGGTCTGCATTCAGAAATGCTCTGTCTCATTACACTTCCTGGCGTATGGCATTCTCAACCAAGCCCCATCTTCTGTGATCTTTTTGCCACTTTTCATGGATTCTGAAGATGTAACCTGAAATATTTAAATAAAAGCAGCAGCAAAAACATAGGTTTTTGTAAGCATGACTTCTAACAAAGCTGTTTATAATTGACACTGCTTTAAATGCAGATAGCTTGTATTTTTTTTGTTTAAAATCCCAGTAAATCTCTGAAGTTTACTGTGCCGCACTATTGTTACGCTGTATGCAAAACTGAAACAGGCCAACACTGTATCGGCTATAAACAATATTGTGTTGATTTCCTATTTATAGCTTTTGCCTTAATATATGGTATATGGTAGGGTTGTGTGTATGTATTAAAGATATGGTCAGACTTTTTATTGCAAGTAAATTAGACACACCGTATGTAGTTTCCAGAGAAGCTGTTCTCACTTCTTTTCTTAAAAGAAGTTGTTCACAATATCCACAACAGTTTAGTGCATCTGTGTCCTTTCCAAGACACTGTTAGCCATGGGAGGTCCTCTGTGGACAACATCAGAGCCCTAGTCCTGGGCAGAGGAAAAGCAAAGGAATCTAGTTTTGGGTAGGAAGTCCAGCAAAAAATGGTTTTACACAAGACCTTCAGCAAAGAGGATCTTTATTGAAAGGCTCTGTGTTTGGCTCATCACATGGAGCAGTGCCCCAGGCCATGGGCTGTGCAGCTCAGGTGTTCATAGGAAATAAGGAGGCAGGTGTGCCACATCTGAGGTCGTGATTCAACAGTAAGACAGATGGGTTAAGCTTCTAAAGCCCCTCTTTTTTTGGTTTAATTAACAATTGTTAGTAACAGCTTTTTCAGTAACTTCAACCTGTTCAGAAGATAGAAAGCTGAAGGAAAGGAATTCCCTGGCCAAATAGGAGCAGCTCAGTGCTTGTAGATGGGGAATATTTTAGGTACGGTGCTGTCAGTGCTGATTACCTGGGAGCTGGAAGCAAGGTGAAGGACAAGTGAGTGAACCTGTCCCTCTCAACAGGATATTACTGTTTCTGTCAACTTCTTGCAGCATTCCAGTAAAAGCCTGAAAGAGAATATATGGTTGAGCAAGCCATGAGAAAGTGAAGGTGGGAAGAAACTCCTCACACAGCAGTTTTGATCCCCTTGCGGGGAGGGGTACTGGCACCACCAGAATTAACTCCCCGCTTCCCACTTGGGAAGTCTGGGTTTACAGGTGTGAGTGACCCTGAGTGATGCTGTGCTTTTCTAGCTCTACCTATAGTAGGTGTCTCTAACTTTTACTTCTCCAGCTGGGAAGCATATTACAAACAGAAGATGCTTTGGTATGTTTGCAGGTTTCCCCTTGCATATCCCCAGTCCCAAGATGAGTGTCATATAATGAAATGTCACTGTTATTTCGGTTGTTTTAGCATTTAAGATGATACCATTTGCTTGAATCACATTTTTTTATTGATGACTCTGTTTCACTAATGCAGGATTCTGCCATGACAAAACTTCCTACTGTATAAAAATCTTACAGAAATTGAATTTTGTAACTGTTAGGTGCTACGGGCAACCTGATAATTTACAGGATATTGTTATCTGATCTAAAACTCGAAGTGGCTTGAGTTCTATGTAGGCATGTCTTTTTTTGGATGAGATACTGGTACATCTAGGTACTCATACGCAAATAATCAGCTGTTTTTCCTTTCAACACAATAGCAGCATCTGTTGTGCTGGTACAAAATGTTTGGTTGAAATATATGTTAATATGTATTGAAATTAGTTATAATAATTGAATTGTCAAGGCATTTCTGAGATAATTAATGTTAAGCATAAGAAAGCTCAGTTTACTTGAACAATTTGGTGCCTTTCTGTATTGCGGCTGCATTGCAGAAAAAGCCCTCGGGAAAGAGAAGGGAAAACAACAAAAAAAAGCGTTAATATTCCGAACATCATATTGTTTCTAATGGAAGCATCGATAGAGAAGAGTTGTTAAAACGACCACTTTAAGCATGTGAGCAGTCCTCAGCCTCAGAAGAAAAGCAGATCTTTTTGGAAAAAGCCTGTTGCCACATTTGAATTGGAATCGCAAGTTAACACAGTTGCCTAAAAGCTGGTTAATTTTGTTTCATGCTTTTATAAATGTACTTTCTTTTGACTGACTTCAAATGACTGCTCAATGCTCTGTGTCATGTTTTCAGCTCGTGTGAAACTGTTTTTTATTGCAAAATGCAATGATTTAATATAGTGAGACCTCCTCCACATAAGTGTCTAAGACAGTAAGTTACTGTGGCATTAGCAGTTGCATTGCTGAGCAGTTTAACTTCTGTACTGGTTGGCTAGAACCCTCTTTTTGTCCACGTAAGCTTTGTAATGACTGAATCTACAAGGTTAACAAAACTGTGCCGCTAGCAAAAAGGAACCCATCGTGAGCTATATGTGAGTCTGCCTTTGCTTCTAATGGTGGTTTGCAGAATTTAAATCACCCTACCTTTAGTTATGGATTTTGCCATGTCAAGATACGAGATCTGTTTCGGCTTGGGTAACTGGTGACAGAGGGTGGGAGTGAATCCACGCTGCAGCCAGTTGAGATAATCCCTGACTTGCTGTCTTTTCTCCTAGGGCCTAAGGATGAAATGCTGAAATTTCTTTGTGCACTTAGTTGCTAAAAGTGATCAATATTACACTTTGGTGGTATTGCAAAAGGCAAGGGTTTTTATATTTGGCTTGTTATTCACTGGAAGTCATTTTTGGCCATATCTTGGATAGTGAGAGTTGCTTGGATAAAAAGATTATAGCATGGGGATTTTTGTGTGTGTATGTGTATATGTGTGGTTTTTTGAGTTTTTTTTTTTTTTTTGAATTTTCACCTCAGACTACAGTTAGAGGGAGATCTTGAACTTTTGTGCTTTCTGAAGGAAGCTCTTTCCATGCTCCTTAGAGATACATTTTTGTCTTTCTTGAAGCATCCGAACCACCACTGCAAAGTTCTCTGTGGGTGAAATATAAAAGAAAGACTTCAGACTTGTGCCCTAAAGAATCTCTGAAATCAGGATGTTTCTGGCCCTTGATAGACTTCATTCCCTTGCTGCAGGATCTGAAGAGGTTTTTCAGCCTCCTTACAGAGAGGGGAGAAAAACAAATATACAAGTCACTTCAAGAACTTTGAAAGCCTACTTAAAATATCTAACTCCTTGGCAAACCCTAAGGACATACATTTTCAATGTATCGTCATGAAAAACACCCGCTCCTTTTGCTGTTGAAGGGTTTCCAAGTAGTTATTTAGCCATGTGATTAATCTTTGCTGCCTTCCACCTCTGTGGGGCTCTCTTCTGTTCCCGCTTCATTGCTCTGGTTTTTGTTGAAGTTGTCTAAATCTCATGTTGTCTTTTTAATATTTGATATTCTGTAAATAATGTAGTAGGTGGCTCTTACTGTGTGACTGGCTTCTCTGATGCCTTTATCCTTCAGGGAAGGAGGCAGGGTGGAAACGGTTGTTGTCTGAGTCCTCTCTTACGTGGAATAAGAAAAGCTTCACTGTTTGGCTTTAGGAATAGCAGGGCTTTTTTTCCCTGCCCTGCCTCCAATTGAATGTGGCCTAATGTCCCTTTTTTAAGAGTGCATTAAGGCTGACCTTACTTTATACTAGGTTTTCCCCCACCTTAACGACCATCTGAGTGTGTTTATGTACATATTGTGTATATACACGTGTGTACGTTATCAGAAACCTTTAATCTGATTTTTTTTCCCTCTAAGCATGGATAAGAAATAACGCTTTTAAACTCTGAAAAATGAAATTTAAATGAAAGAGGGATTTTTAGTCTGTAGTCTTCTGATTCCTCAAAGATACTTTTGAAAATGTTACTCTATCTGTAGACTTGTAAAAGTCTCATGTTCATAAGTATATATTAAGATTTAGGTATACTTGTATGTATGTTTAACATAGTTTCTATAAAATTGATGTAAATCTTCTTTCTACAGACAATAAATGTTTTAACAGTTTTTACCTATATTTTAAATGCCTTCAGTGATTTGGTTCAGTAACTTGTTAGTATTTGCTTTCAGAGTAGTTTACTCACTCTGCGGGCAATTGCACAGGCACTGAGATGTCTATATGTACACCTGGTTTCCAGAACTCCATCCATTGCTTCCTTTCGAGTTCAAAACTTTGATCCGCTTTCTAGCAGCCCCCTTTTAGCTAAGAGACTCCCCTTTTGAAGACTTAAAATGTGAATCAACTTAGATAGATCTTAGCACAAAATGGATGTTGTTTAGAAACAAACAAAATGACTCTGTAGGCAGATGTTCCAGTCTCATCCACGGCGCTCAAAACACTCCGTGTCTGTCAAGTGGATTAGGATGGGGAGAGGGGTGCACTTATTTGGCTGCCTTTATGTATTCAGCAAACTGGTATGCATTTGTAAGAGTCGTGTCAGTGAATACAGTGTTATCTATGCTAGGTAAAAATAAACATGTTAGGAAATATTAATATTAAAACATGAGTAGCATGGCAATGCGCTGAAGCTAGAATTTACTTGGCATGTGTGTTAATCTTTCAGGATAGCCTTTATGTTACTGCTCTGCTTGTGGGGAAGCCCATGAATTAATTTTCCCCTTTGCCATACAATTTTCAGTGATAGGTGCCTCAAGGCTGAACATTTACATATGGTTCTGCAGCAGGAGGAGGCATGTGTCTACACAAAATATGTATAGCCTAACATACACTTTGGCCATGGCATTCTGACTGAGGTAGCCATCATGCTGGCCTTCTCCCATACGTTGTAAAATTAGTTAGGAATGGACTAAGCTTAAGTTAGCTGAGTTCATTGTTAGTCCT